CACCCTCCTCTCCAGGCGCTCCCACCTAGGCAGGCGCGAGGCGGAAGCACACTGGCGGGTGAAGGACAGAAAGACAAATGGAGAGCTCTCCAGCCAGCACACGCATTAAACAAGTACTTACATTATGCAAAAGCCAAGGCCCTCAACCGGGGGCGAGTGGAGAGGGAGGGCGGGGAGGGGCATGTCTCTGACTAGTTCCTCCAGTTCTCACCCCGCCAACTTCCAGCGACCCCCCTTTCCCCCCCAGAGAGCACCCCTCGTCCCCGCCCTAGTGCCCAGCGCTTGGTGCAGGTGGGATCCTGCCACCCGAGGAGCGGGGCGTCGAGGGGCGTGGCCTGCGCTAACATCGGGGGCGGGGCCCGGGGAGGGTTTGGCCGGGGCGGGGCCCACGGCGGAGGGGGCGGGGCCAGGGCTGAAGACCGCCCCGCGTTCCGGGCTGCATTGCCACTCCGCTCACGCCGCTTCCTGGAGCCTCTGTTTTTAATCAGAGCCTGCACCTTCCCTCTCTCGCCTTCCAGATGACCGTAAAGCGACGGCTTGCAGAGGATCCGCTCAAGGAACCGCCTTCTAAAAGTCGTGTCGTCAGCCTCAGCAGTGCAGGACGCCTTCCTGACCGGAGGGTGCTGTCCTTGAAGGAGGAACAGCTCATTTTGGTCTTCCGAGCATCCCTGGAGATGGCCAGCGCAGGTGCGGCTGTCCCCACAGGGCCGTCTCTTTCCATCGCCACACCACCACCTCCGAAGTGCATCCTAGGGTCCCGATTTTACAGGGGGAGAAACTGAGGCACACAAAAAAAGGAACTTATTCTCTGGAAGTTGAGCAACGAAAGAAATTAAAAATTGAGGGCAGGGTTGTGCCAGTGCGGCATCCCTGATCCCACAAGTGCGCACACGTGCACGAGGGTGCGCGTAGAGCCTTTTAAAAAGACTGCATCTCCACTCCTACCAAGCCCTCTTGATTTTAATTGCCCCTTGGGGCTCAAATCTGCCCACTTCTCTCTACTACCGCCATGCCCCCCCCGCCCGTCTCCTCCCCCCCCCCAGTCACCTGTCTCCCTCCCACGTCACTACTGCTGTACCTTAGTGCAGTTCCTGGCCCCATCTGTTCCTTGTACATTGTCCTCAGCATAACCACCACCCAGCTGCTCCCTGCCTCCACCTTTTTAAAAAAATGATGGTCAAAATATGCATAACATAAAATTTTCCCTTTTAAAGTGGGCCACTCAGCAGCCTTGAATATTGTCATGCTGTTGTGCAACCATCACCACCAGAACATTTCCATCACCCCACAGGGAAACGCATTAACGGACACTTCCTGTTCTGCTGTCCCCCCAACCCTTGGCAACCACCAATCTGCTTTCTGCCTCCCTGAATGTGCCCGCCTGTTCTGGATATTTTATATAAACAAAATCACCCCAAATATGAACTTTCGTGCATGTCATATTTAGCATGATGTTTTCAAGGTTCGTCCCCGTTGTAGCACATGTCCATACTTCATTCCTTTTTATGCCTGAGTAATATTACACTGCATGGATCATCTTGATGACCCATTTATCTGTTGATTGGCACCTGGGTTGTTCCCACTGTTTGGCTACTGTGAATGGACATTTATGGACAGCTATTTGTTGGCCCATCTGTTTCAGTTCTTTGGGGTGCACACCTCGGACTGCAATTCCAGGGTGACGTGGGAACTATGTTTCACTTATTAAAGAACAGCCACACTGTTTTCCACCAGGGCTCTTTCATTGGCACTCCCAACAACAGCATTCAATACCTTGATATTTTCACACCCTTGCTGAGAAACACTTGATATTTTCTTTTGCTTTATTATTGTCAGCCTGGTGGGTGTGCCCAGCTCCATCTTGGGGTCCTCTGCCCCTGGTTCTTACTGCTCCTGTATTTTATATCCTCAAATTGGCCTCACCGTCTTACCAAAGACCTTCATAAACACAGTGCCTCTGTCTGGCCCCGGTCTCCTGCTTCCTACCCCAAGTCGGAGCGCATCCCCTCTGTTGATCCATAGCAGACCTAGAGACTTCTTTGCTTCCAATTGGGTCTCAATTTTACATTTCCTGGTGTGATTACTGATGAATGTCCGTCTTCTTGACTTGTCTTATGACCTTAGTCCCTCAGGGAGGGATAATTCCGGTTTTTTTTTTTGTTGTTGTTGTTGTTTTGCATCCTGTGTTCCAATCACTTAGCCCAGACCCTGGGAGACTCTTAGTGTTCACTAAGTACTGGGCAGATGGGTACCTGAGCAATGAATGAGGTCCAAGTTTAAGTCCCACGTCCTGGTGGGTTTCCTTTTGTTCCCTTTCACTGCCCACTAGGGCCAGCAAAGCCTGGGAAGGTTGGGAACTGAAAACCCATTTTATAAGGAACTTGGAGACTGATGGGGTTTTGGTGGCCGAGTGATTCTCACTAGCCACCCTCTTCAGGGTCGGTCATGGCGTATCTGGGCATGGGACTCAGAGTCTGGCATGGCTGAGGGGCCCGTCCTGCCCCCCATCACTGCAGGAGTTTTAGGGAGTCTGAAATACATTGGCTGGGTGCAAGCCTGACCTCCGTGAGGCAGGATGATCCCTGTGTTTGCCAAACCATTAACTTTTATGTAATAACAACGACCATAACAAACTGTGTTTGCCCCACACACTTTTGAGTCACAGTGAAGGTCAGGACTGTGGGACTGTGTGAGACGAAAACCTTGTCAACTAGAAACGTAGTGGCCAGTTCTCTGTTTAGAGCTCTGCTCCTACAGGTCCTGCAAATCCAAAGAGCTGAAAATAAAGAATTAAAAATTCACGCAGCTCCTTTCTTCCTCGGAACTCCAAATACTTCTGACCATCTTTATCCTGTGGAGTCACGAACGGCCAGAGAGTGCCATGCCCATCTCCAAGACTGGGAAATGGAGGCTGAGAGAAGCTGGGCGTGGCAGCGTCCGCCCGTCATCCCAGTGGCTCAGGAGGCGGAGGCAGGAGGATCACAAGTTCAAAGCCAGCCTCAGCAAAAGCGAGGCGCTCAGCAACTCAGTGAGACCCTGTCTCTAAATAAAATACAGAATAGGGGGCTGGGGATGGGGCTCAGGGATCGTCGAGTGCCCCTGAGTTCAATCCCCAGTACCACCCCCACAAAAAAAAAAAAACCACCAGAGGCCCAGACAGGCAGTGAGTTTGCCAGCCCCCCACCCCTCAGTAAGGCTGCAGCTGCTCCTGCGAGCGCCCCTCCCATCTATCCTTCTAGCCCATGAGCTCTCCATTAGCTTGATTAGGACAATTGATTTATTCATTCTTAGTGGCTGAGAGAGAGAGAGAGAGACCAACATGCCATTTGTGTGATATAAATATCCCTGGAAAAAGCTAAAAAACATTGTGTCATACATATTTTCTTGATACCACAGTCAATCACACATGTCTGCCCAAGTGCATAGTTCGTCAACCCAGGGAGATGGGGGAGAGGAGCGAAATGGGGGTGGGGACTCAGGAGAGACTCCGCTCCAGAAGGCTCTCCCCGGTGTAGTGACTTTTGCCAAGCACTAGAGACACACAGCAATGGTTTTATATATATATATATATATGTATATTAGCATTTTGTCTTTGGAGAACTTTCTAGAAATATGAGAAACTGAATGTTGATTTGGGTAGGAATATTAGTAGGCAGGGCTGCCAGGGTGCTGGGGACACCTCTTCCACTGATCAGTTCCCAAATAAAAAAAAAAATGGGTTGTCAGGTTCTCACGCAGTGTCCTCCTGGCCTCCCGGAGGATTGGGGTGGAGGATCTGTCTCTCCACGTGGCTGGCTGCCCTTTGCCCATCCCTCCACTCCCACCATCAAAAAGCCTTTAATCCCAGTGATTCCTCTGTCAGGAATTTAGCCCAAGGAAATCATTAAAAAGATTTCGTTACAGGATGTTCCTCACACCATGTAGATGACGGTGAAAGATCAGAAACAACCTTCACATCCAGCCAACCATTGGCAATGAATAAGTGGATCGTGTGGTTCTTCTGTGAAAACCCCTGTGCTTGGATTTTAAAAGGGGGGAAAAAAAAGATGGGAAGGAAGTGAACCAAGGGTTTGTCTTCGGGGTGGAAATATAGATGATTTCTTTTTTCCCCTGAAATAAGTTTGTTTGGGGACGATCTATTCAAAACCCTCTTAAATCTGTTCGACTGTCATTGGAAGCTTTACGACATCACCAAGATGTGGACATCCCGAGGGAAGAGACACCCCTGGACCCCCATGGGAAGGGACGGTTCCCGACTCTGAGTGCTGGGACATGAGGTGGATTCTGGATTGTCGTGTTTTTCTGGAAGTCCAGGAGAGGAAGGCACAGTGGATATGACAGGCATTCGGGAGCCACGGGAGATACTTCAACAAGAAAGTCACAACCAGTTCCACCTCAGACCAAGCAGAACCTGCCCAAGAAGTGAATGAATCTGGGGGCTTCAGCATTCTCTCAGGGAAGGATCTGATTTCATGGGACTTGGGGGCTGGAGCTTCTGGAGAATCCTAGAACACTAGTCCTGCAAGAGGTCTTGAGATTTGCCTTCATTTTGCAGATAGAATGATTTCAGCCCCCAAAGTCCTATGGATCCAGTCCCACAGCAAGATGGCGGCCCAAGTTGGCAACCACGGGTCCATATTCCCAGCCTGGGCCTCAGCCCGTCTCTCTGCCAGTCCCACCATTCATTCATTCATTCATTCATTCATTCATTCACCTGCTACTTACTGAATACCTATTAGGAGTCAGACACACTAAGTGGTAGAGTAGGAATGAAGAGATTGATGGCACATAGTAGGTGCTCAATAAATGTCTGTGGAAGCGGGAAGAGAGAAAGAGATGGGAGGCATAGTGTCTGTCCTCAGATAGTTCCAGATTCAATGCTGAAACCACCACAGACTTTTATGGGAAATGGAAACCACCCTTTGGAGACAGGAACTCGTCCTCTGCAGGCCCAGGCAAGAAGACGCTGAAGACAACCAAACCAAAAAAAAAAAAAAGAAAAAGAAAAAGACTTCCAGTTACAGCATTGCATCCATCTCCTGTATCGAACCCCTACCATGGGCCAGATCTGGGATGAAATATTCTGCTGTTTTTCCACAGGTTACAGATTGACCCCCACACACCATGGGCAGAAGACCCCTGCAGAAGGGGGGGGATGCGCTGGCGAGCCCCCCAGGAAGGACGGACGTGGTTGGCTCCTCTGAACAACGCTGACTTCTTTTCCTAGGTCCACAAGTCCTGCTTCTTGGCACACAGACCTCTGGCCAGGGCCTAGTGCTGGCCCAGGAGGGAGGGCCAGCAGGAGCCACAGGCTACGGGACAGCCAGCAGTCCTGCCCTCTCCACTTCCCCTACCCACTCTTCCAGCTCCTCAGGCCATTCCCCCTTGACGTTGCCAAGTGGACGTCAATCCAGAGGCCCCGCTCTGGTCTCTGAGAAAACCCAAGAACTTGGCAGAGCCTTTGGGAGGCGGGTGCGTGGGGAAGGAAGGGGAAAGAGGAATAAGAGAAAGTCCCACGTGGTTCCTCTCACCGCGCCCGCCCGGATGGAAGGGGAGAGGAGAAAGTCCCCCCAGAGCTCCCACGAGCTGGCCGACCGACCGCTGTTGGCAGGGCTGGGGCTGCTCTTGGCCCGAACCTGCCCTGAGCAATACAGAGCGGCTCACGCTCTTGGAATTCGCTCCCTTAGAGATTCACGCTGCAACTTGGCTTCGGAAGACAGTTTTTTAAAAGAGAGGAAAAGAAAAACCACTAAGTCACCCGTGAAGGGCGCACCCCCCAAATTCCCCAGAGCACCCCTAGGGCTGGATGGGGCGGAGGAGAAACTTCCCAGAGCTCCCCCAGGGAGGACTCTGACAGCTGCAAACTTCCTAGTGGGGTTCCCAGGGAGAACAAGAAGCCGAGATCTGGAAAGTTCTCATTCCAGTGCTGTCCCTCGACTCCAAGGCTCTGCCGAGAGGTCCTGATGAACAGTGAGGTTCAAGGCAGAATCGAGTTATGGCCTTCTGTGGATGCCAGAGGGCTCAGCCCTGAGCCACCAAGGACCTGCCCAAGGGCACGCAGCTGAAGGGCAGGGTATGGAATGGGCATCACCGGCAGGCTCCTGAGACTCCCTGGCCTGACTTTGGCCACTCCACCCTCGGGTCTTTATTTATGGCTTGATCCCCATGTGCCACCATATGGAATCTGACCTGGCTCTCCCCAGTGATTCAGAAAACCTGAGCCGTCATTCACTCCACCACAGAACCGGCTCTGACAGCGAGCGGCCCTGGGCGCTTCCGGACAGAGCACCCAGGTGGACAAGTACCCCTAATCAGTAGGGGTCCCTCACCTGGGGTCTTCAGGCTCCAGGATGCCTTGGCAGAATTCCAGGGCCCGAGATGTTAGCTGGGGAGAGGGCAGGGGGTGCTGTTTTTATTTTCACTGA